TATATATATATATATATATATATATATAAAATAATTGAAATCAAAATGTTTGCGTTATTTCGCAAAGGTTTGCGTTATAACGCAAAGATTTGCGTTATATCGCAAACGTAGAAAAAAAATATAAAAAAAATTGTATGGCGCTAATACGCTTCTGTAGTTTTTCGTTTATTGTTTTCTACATCAATCAGGCCGTTAGTTTTCTTGTGAAATTATTTTACATTTGTCATTTCGAGGCATTTTATAGCTTTCATTGCGGTATGTGTTTTGCGCGGTGGCCTATAGTTGTTAACTACTACGTCATTTGGTCTCTGGTGGATAGTTGTCTCATTGGCAATCATACCACATCTTTTTTTATTTCTATATGTGAAAGCTCAATTCTATTATCCCCCCCCCCCATAATTAATAAAATGTCGAGATAATTAACCGAGGTATCTTACATGAATCACCAAGAGTGGCTAGCACACACTTTTTATTTGGAGCAAGGTTAATCTTTAAATCAATTTTCCACTGAAAATGAATGTTGCTTTATTAGATAATTAGAACTTAGTTTGCCAAAATCTACTAATTTTATTGGATATTGTGAATTTTAATGACAAAAGATAAAAATGCTAATTTCGTTGCCAGTAGTCAGCATATTATACTTATATAATATGAAAAAAATACATGATTTGGACTAATGAAAAATAAGTCATATAAATTAACTAATTAAATGCAGTCCATTATGGCATGGTATTGGTTGCAAAAATTTGATATTTTTCATTAAAATGCAAAATCTTGTATTTAATTGGTATATTTCTTCATTTAAATGTAATATTTTTTTATTTAAATTGTATTTTTTTTATTTAAATGCAATATTTTTTATTCAAGTTGTGTATTTTTTTCATTTAAATGCAATATTTTTTATTCAAATGCTATAATTTGTCATTTAAATGCAATATTTTGTATTTAATTGGTATATTTCTTCATTTAAATGCAATATTTTTTATTCAATTATTTTTTTTCCATTTAAATGCAATATGTTTTTATTCAATTGGTGTATTGTTTTATTTTAATGCAATATTTTTTATTCAAATGATATAATTTGTCATTTAAATGCAATATTTTGTATTTAATTGGTATATTTCTTCATTTAAATGCAATATTTATTTATCTATATGATATATTTTTTCATTTTAATGCAATATTTTTTATTCAAATGGTATAATTTGTCATTCAAATGCAATATTTTTTATTCAATTGGCATATTTGTCGATTTAATTTTAATTTGCAATGTTTAGTAGTTTTTTTATTTATATGCAATAATTGCATTATGGGAAATTGTTTGACGTCAAAGGGTCAAATTTACAACAACGTTTGTGATTGGTCGATTCTGGATTTTATATGTTATCTCGATAAGTAACTCTTGTACGGTTTTTTTTTAAGTTCATCGTATTACTACAACATATAAAATTCATGACTCAATATTTGGAGAATGAAAACACAAAGTTTGTAATTCTATTCAAAACAAACTTATAATAGAAGACAAAAAATGACATGGTCCAAGGACACAGTTATCGTCCTTTGGTTTTCGTTGTCTACGAATATAGTCCCTAGTGTGAACAGTGTATAACTTGCATTTTTTTTTGATACACTTTCCCAATTTATTTCTTGATGTTTTATGCATGAAATATTAAGTAAGGGGATGAAATTACATGTTAAAAAAATTTGGGTGCTGAATCTTTATGTTAAGTAGTGATTTGGTCCAGTTAAAAAAGGTCAAAAATTAGAATGTCTGAAGCTGTCAAACTGAATTTTAGCCCCCCTTAACACAGAATTGTCAATATTTTGAGTTAGAGCTGGTAGAAGTTTCAATAATTTTGATATTATTTGTATCAATAGTAGTACACTACACTGTAAAAACAATTTTGAGATAGAGCAGGTGCGATTTTTTTAATTTGAATTTATTGTCTAAAAGAAATGCACTACGAAATAACTGTGTTCTCGGGCCTAAGAGATGAATTCCGTAAATGTAGATTCTGTACTTTGGCAACTTTCCTGAATGGTTTTCTGGTTTCAATTTGTCAAACTCAATAAAAGTAAAGGATTTACATCTTTGTTTGACAGAAATTCTGTTAAAATGTCCCATTTTGGCATTAAACGGCTAAAATAAGCATTTTAAAGCAGTTTCCATTTTATGCCTAAGAACTATGCTGACTTTCTATCTGACAGCTTTTTATGTTCCTGATATTTGTGTTTCTATGCTTAAATCAAATTTAATTAACCATTTGTGAACTCTGAATCTAGAGAAAAGTAGATTATCACAGAAAAAATGTGCAGAATATTTGTATTTATGTCCCTGGTTAAACGGCCTGTTTGATGTATGTGAATTGTGAAGAGCTTTGTACAAAAAATCTGTAGTCCATCACAAATATTTCACTAAATCTGTAAAAAAAACACTTTACAATGATCAGTACACCCTATTCATTTCATATGCTACCATAATTTTCTTCTTTAGGATAGTAAGTGGTTCAAATATATGCCAATTGAGACTAAAACTACATGCAAGTTTTCCATTGAAAAGTGAAAACTGGTCATCAGACCATACTGTCTGCAAAAAAAATTTGAATTCAAGAGTCCTTTTGCGATTAGACTTCTTGTATCATGACATCTTAGCATAGAAATGAGCAAAAAGTAACAAATTTCCATTTCTTATAGCCTCTGTGTGGATTTGTATATGTAAATATGGGCTACGGCCTAAATCGACTCTAAATAATTCTCAGTCTTACATGGCCGAAGACCATTTGATACTCATGTGGTATGCTTTTTGTAACTTTTCTTTACATTTAAACTACATTTAATATATATGGAAGAATAATGTATGGTTAAAAAACTTCAAAAACTTCAAATTGGTTGAAAAAAATGCATGTTGATGTAAGGCTTCCCTTAATTAAAAAATCTCTATTTTCAGGCACAAGCTCATATAAATTTGACTTTTGAATAACTGTAATAAATCTGATAAATCAAATGAGTGTTCCGTTGCTTTTAATACTCATTATATTATATTCAAGAGTATTTAAAAAGCAAATTTTTGCAATATTTAAATTTTTAGGCCAAAATCTTGACAGTTGAAAATATTTGATTTAAACGTCAAAAATAAACATCCAAATTTCAATATTAAAATGGCCCTAGTTTCTATAATATATATCCTATGGCCATGAAACTTAGCCAACTATCTTATAATTTCCTAAGCTTAGGTCATGCAAAGTTTTATTAAAATTGTTCAAGTCTTTCTATCCTATTAGGTCCAAGGACACAGTTATCGTCCTTTGGTTTTCGTTGTCTACGAATATAGTCCCTAGTGTGAACAGTGTATAACTTGCATTTTTTTTTATACACTTTCCCAATTTATTTCTTGATGTTTTATGCATGAAATATTAAGTAAGTGAATGAAATTACATGTTAAAACAATTTGGGTGCTGAATCTTTATGTTAAGTAGTGATTTGGTCCAGTTAAAAAAGGTCAAAAATTAGAATGTCTGAAGCTGTCAAACTGAATTTTAGCCCCCCTTAACACAGAATTGTCAATATTTTGAGTAAGAGCTGGTAGAAGTTTCTATAATTTTGATATTATTTGTATCAATAGTAGTACACTACACTGTAAAAAAAATTTTGAGATAGAGCAGGTGCGATTTTTTTAATTTGAATTTATTGTCTAAAAGAAATGCACTACGAAATAACTGTGTTCTCGGGCCACATGGCAAACAAACGAGACGAAAAGAAAAACAACGGACCACAAAATACATCACAGGCCACTACATAACTGAGCAACACGAACCTAAACTAAAACTGCTCTGGAAGGATAAGCAGTTCCAAACGGACGTTGTACGTACGTTTTTGGGACTTTCCCAAGTCAATTATTAACACCAGTGGTGTAACTTCAGTTTAAATCCGTTGTAGAGTCATAACCCGTTTTAATGAGGCATAAACTTGCAGATTTGTAAATCTTCCTCGCTATATCTATACATAACCAAAATAAAGCATTGGAACATGTTAAGTCTCCTACTCTATATGTTAACAATTTGAAATAAAACCATTTTCTTATGACAAAAACATTGAATACCACAAATTATAATACAGAAAACTAAAGCAAAACTAAAACGTCTCCCCTCAAATAAAATCTAGGCGTGTACTAAGATCCTCTGGAAGGTTAGGAATATCCTGTTCCACTAGTGGAACCCCGCAATGTTGCTCATGTTATGCAAAATTCAGTAACTAACAGGAAGTAATATTCATGGGAAGAAGAGCCCTATTCATCCTTCGGAAGCAATCGCCAATAATGAAAGATTTTTTAAAAAGTGACCAGATGACTCTACAACGGATGTAAACTGAAGTAACACCACTGGTGTTACTAATTGACATGGGAAAATCCCAAAACCGTACGTACAACGTCCGTTTTGAACTGCTTATCCTTCCAGAGCACAAGTTTCGCAAGTTTTAGGTTAGGTTCGTGTTGCTCAGTTATGTAGTGGTCAGTGATGTTTTTTGTGGTCCGTTGTTTTTCTTTTCGTCTCTTTTGTTTGTCATGTCATTTTTTGTCTGTCTTTTTTTGTCATTTTTTTTTCTTCTATTATAAGTTTGTTTTGATTAGAATAACACACTTTGTTTTTTCATTCTCCAAATATTGAGTCATGAAGCACCACCCCTTTTAAGAAATTGATAACTTGAACCGTAAGCTCTCGATAGGCTTACAAACCAAAAAGGGCTTAAACAATGTTTAATTCTGCACACAAAAAAGCTACACCTGATAAAATATGATGCAAAATTCAATTTGCCACATAGTCGGGATTTTTTTTTATAATTTTTACGATTTGCGCTTTACAAAATGGTTATGTTGTTATGTGGCTGCATTTGCAAAAACTTCAATACCGATAAGTTAGAAAATAAATTTTAAATTATCAAAATGGAATGCTTTTTAGAAACTCGGGGCAAAATTATTGAAACCAAATTCGACTACTTTTGTGTTAAATTTTATAGAGCTTTTATTTCTAAGGTCCTGAACATAATCTTAAGGTTATATACAGTTAGCATAGGAAAATCGGAAGAGTCAAAGCCCAAAACATGCATTCTATTCCTTAATTTTGGTTCCGTTTATTCTTTTTCAACATTCTTTTCTGATTGGTTATCATCGTTATCACTATCAGAAGGCAATGGCTCTGCTGTCTTTGTTAGGTCAATGACTGCATAATTATTTCTGTTTTCCGAGCCCCTAATTATAAATCTTTTTCCACTAACCGTAGGCGCCAAATCCAAATCTGCATAGATCAATCCGTCCTTATTCTGAAAATAAATTTAAAAAGGTTTTTTGTTCAGAATGTTTTACTTTACGCTATGTTTAATCATGCTGTTAAATTGCAGATTTTGTTGATATTGGGTTCTGTATGGACCGCTGGTAGAAAAAAAACCCAAAAAAAACCGTACGTAGGACAATCGAAAATTAGCATGACGTCTTAAACCTAAGTCATTGACGTTGCATAAGCAAAAATGTATTTTGTTAAATGTTAGCAGTTCTAAATCTTATATTAACCTATAAAGTTTTACCAAAGAAGATCCCAAATGCTTTTAGACAAAGGGAAGACAGAACTGTTATAGTTATACACTAATACACGTTACGGTTAGACGATACCAAATGACGATATCTCATGAGTTATCGTTCCTGAAGTTATTGACCAGTATTCTTAGATTATACAAGTCAGGGTAGCAGGTTCCGCCGTGTTTCTGACGATGGATTTGTATAATTTGTTTTCCGTTATTCTTATTTCTAAACCAGTTGGAATATTGAACAAATTTCTATGGTGTGAAAATAAACTACCAAACCAAGCGACATTCGTGCTGAATTACGGAAACAGGTTCAATTTATGCATTGTGATAAAACCAGACCAAACTACATAATGAAAACAAAAGCATTTCTGAATATATATCTCGTATCGTATGCATATCCAAAGGTTTGCTCTGAACATTTCTTACATCCTTGATTTTGTTTACAATACAATCGGTTTTATATAACTTGCATTAGAAATCATCCAACTTAAATAAGATTGGTTCTCTGTAAGATATAGCATATATGCTTTTTTGTTGTCTTGTTTAGGTAAATACCCAACATTTCCATTTATTAGTATGATAAATATTGGCATGAATGGTCATTACCATAACAGCTTATTTAATGTTATGGTTATAACATTGAAGTGTCTTTTAATGTATTCCAATATTTAATTAATTTAGTTACTTTGAGTTTACAATGTTTTCTGAGTGGTATTGTGTTAAGGTCTTTATGCTAAACCTGACATCGCTTTTCATTCTTATCCGACTACATATTGCTTTCTATTAATGTTTATTATTTTAAATTATTTTTTAACATTTTTTTTCTGTGCATGCTGTATGCATCACTATTAATTTGGGAGGTATATTGCTTCAAGAAATGTAGAATATTTAGAATATGGTTCAACTGTTAGTTATAACAAAATTGGTTTAGTTATTGACATGGTCTGTCTCTCACATACATGATTATTAAAATATTTCAAACAAATGACCTTCATAAACATGATAACATGAGTAATATATTACTGCACATCAACTTATGATCATGTAATTATAAAATTATAATAAGTAACAATCAGAAAGTCAATATTGAATAGGGATTAGAATATATATATATAGCAAAGTGCTATCGACCAATGAAATTGTAGAATTTGGTGTTCCTTAATTGTGAAGAATGAATCATGTTCTAGGTAAGAGATTATCCAATTGTTTAGGTCTACCCCGAAGCACCTTTGTCAGTTTAAAAGGATTTATGATTGAATCTGACTTAAAATTGAATTTTGAAACGAACAAAACGTTTACAGGTGCAGTAAAATTGGTACCCTTTATAATATTACGTGATTTTTTTCAAAGCAATGCAAAAAAGCCAAAAAAAAAAAAAAAACAACCTTCAAAATTAAATAAAACCTAGATCTTTAGCTAAAACACTTAACAAAAGTTGAGATTACTGTATCTGCAGTTGGTAAGAACTGTATAATACACTTTGCACAGGAATTTAAATTAATTTTTCGATTTCATATATTTTCTATTTTTTATGTAAATAGCTGGATTGAAAAATTGGCCCTGTGTAGGTTTTACTTATATTTTGAATTTATTGATTTGAACTGTAAATAAACAAGAGGATAACTCCTCCCTTACATTTTACAAAACTCACATTCATATTCATAATTAGAAACTTATTCGAGTTTCACCATTTCGTCGTACTGATGCGCCATCAAATGTCTTTAACACAGTTTATTAATATTTCCCAAATCATAAGAAAGTCTTTACATAACATGATCTATATATGAAATGTCTAAAAAAGAAGTGGTGCAATTGTTATAAACATTGCACTGACAATGAAACAAATTCTTGATTTAAACCAATCAATGATCTCATTTGACAACAAAAATGTTTGAGCCTTAAACACTTTACAATATTCTAGGTTGCAAGAGAATGATAATCCCTTTCTTCGTGTATATGTAAAAGAATGATAATCCTTTTCTTCATGATTAAGTACGAGGGTTAGCGAGTTTATATCATGAAGAAAGGGATTATCATTCTCTTTCAAACTTATGATGTTGTAAAGTACTCAAGACTCAAATTAGATTCATTGTCAGTGCAATGTTTATAATTAATGCATTTCTTCCTTGAGGCATTTCATTTATGAATTAGTTTACGTGATATAAGAACTTTCTTATAATTTTGGAATTTACAATAAATTGTGGTTTAGACATAAAATGACACAACAGTACAATAAAATGGTAAGAATCGTGCATGTTTACTGATTGTGAGTATGAATGCAAATCATGTAATTTTTAGTGAGGAATTATTTTTTTTGTTTATTGTCAGTTCGAATCAATAGATCTGAAATATGAGTTACAACTAATTTCTATTTCATAGCAAATACTTTAGTCCAGCTCTTTACATCAAACACTACTTCATTAAGTCAGGAAAATGTTCAAATAAAATTCCTTTAAAAGTTTAAAATATATTCAAAAGTTAATATTAAACTCCTTTTCTTTTTTATTTTATTGGAATAATGGAAATTAATGTTCGTACCAACCGCGGATCCCGAAACTGAGTATTGGTAAGCGTATTAGGTAAAGAATTAGATTATATTTAATTTTTAAACTGTTTTTTTTTTTTTTTTTTTGCATTGCTTTAATATTGTTTATTATTTTTTTTTTAGTAATTTGAAGTTATTAATATTCTCATAATAACATTAACGGTACGAATTGTACTACACTAGTAATATTCAACTTATTTTGATTTTATTGTTTGTTTCAAAATTCCACTTTTTGTTAGTTCCAATCACAAATCCTTTCAAGGTAAAAAAAATAAATGTGTTTCGGGGCAGTTGTAACTCATATACAGAAATTCTTTGTTTTGGACTGTAGGTAGGCCTAGATAACACTACGATCCCTTACTAAGAACATAATTTACATTCATTCTACACACTTATGAAACACAACATACTACAGTTTCATTGGTCGAGAACACTTTGTTATATTCTAAATCAGTGTATATAAAGTGCGAATCCAGTTAGTTCATTTTAACCATCGTACGCGAGTATTACTATTGTAGAATAAAGGATGATGGGAAAAACTGCGTTTGTTTACTTTTTGAAAATACAAAATAACTGATTTGAATGTATGTTTTAACACAATTTCATTATAATATAACTTGTTAATGTATAATAACAGGATTAAAGTCCAAAAAGTGTAATTAAAGCAGCTGAATCCATTATACTGATTACTGAGTGCGATTTATTTTAACTATAAATGCATTATCACTGTAAGTACGATCATTTCTGATGTGAAATGTGTCGAGGTGCGATGCAATTTCATTGTTGTTTTATATGATAATTCGACATGCAACAACTGAAAATAGTCTTGTAATGACTTTAATTTTGATGATATTTACTATTTGGAATGCAAGCTAGTCGTAGATGCTTACTTGAATATACATGGGTATAACCAACGTATGGTTGATTCCGGTCGTTGTGCGTTGTGTACCGTTCGTCGTTTTTTTTCTGTACGTTTGTTGCGTGTTTTCGTTATATTTCTGTACCGTTGGTTAGTAAAACACCGAGAACATAATTTGCTGTTTCTGTTGAAATACCTATCTTTTATTTTTTGTTAGCAAGCATTTGCAGATACTAAAACTATTTGACATTTTAAACATTTCATATTGAAGATTAAAACAACCTATATTTGTATTTGTTTGACGTGAAACAGAACTTACTGGAGCAAGAGAAGCCCACTCATCGGGAGTGCTTGATTGCAATCCAGGTTCTTAGAAATCCAGTATTTTGATCTTGAGGTCAAAGGTCAAGCTCACCCTAAGATCAAGGTGATATGCGTTACATCGTCTTAAGGTGATACACGATCATATAATGCATACTCAAATTTTTTTGGTGAGTTTTCTATTAGTGTGTCATGGATCCGAAAATATACTAGAGTAGAACATCCATGAAAACAACGTATTTGTATGGCGAAGTTTCCTTGAAAAGTTTTAGAACTGGCTTTAAAAAGCTTGAAAATTTGTCACGCCTTTTATACATATTTCTACCATATTGATAGGCTGTCGCACAACGAACTGTACACGAATTTACAAAGAATGGTAGTAAAGAAAGCAAACAAACTACAAAGAGAACGAATCGTACAGTGTCAAAATTCTGAGGTCAGTTATTTAAGTAAATGTCTGCAAATAAAATAAAACAAAGGGTTTCTCATTCGCATTATGTATTTTAAGTAACAACAAATCACAAAATACACGGTCGCATTTAGTGTAAGAGCCAACCAACTATGCTTTATTTGTAGTTTAATCAAGTTTGAGTTACACAGAGTGTTTGTTTTGCGATGTTTACAAGTACTTCACAGACCTGTCTATTTAAAATAGTCACAGGGTGTTCATGTAATATAGATAATATACAATGCTGTCAGGAGCAGTAAACTTTGTTTTCATAAACATTGAATACTTAACTGAACAGTACGTCAATTATTCTTATGTGAAAATATTAGGACGGTCTTCCTACCACCCTCGCTTCGCGTTGCAGCGATTAACGTCCGGCATCAACTGTAGGGCGTTTATATCCCGTGGAATAGAACCATTTAAACATGTAACAATAAACTGTATTCAATATGGCCTTGTATTCTTACAATTACGTATTTGCTTATTTGTAACAACAATTTGTAAGAAATTCAAACATAAATCAAGGGGACTCGATTGTTGCTCGAACTTTCTTTACTGTATAAGAT